CCTGCTGAGTTATCGGGAAAACAGTTCCACTTCGGACTTCTCCGATGAGACTCACTGTAGCGGTCCAACGATCGGATTACTAAGTATCCCAGAGATAAAAGTTTTATATTGAAAAGTAGCCCTTGACGAAGGGCAGTGCGAAGATATAAAAGCAAGATGCAAGTACCTCAGAAATATCGGAGAACATAAAAATCCGAAAATCTTTCAGCCATTTTTGATAACTGGGCGGGAACTCTCCCCGCCCTCCTTCGGTCTCGCCGGCCCCCTCTTGACCTTCCCCTGGACCCAAGGGTGTGCCATACAAATTCTGGCTGCTTTAGCTCTTACAGGGACTGAGTGCATAGAGAACAAACAAACATACTTTCTTCTTTATATATATAGATAAGTGACTTGTTTTAAGTAGTCTCATTCAAAAGAAAATCACAACCAATTATTCTTTGTATCCTTCTATAAGGTCCCAAATGGTTACACGTTTATTTATCATCCTCAAAACAATTACTTGAACAATGTATATTGTTAGCTGAACAAAATTCTTTTAAAGCTATTGTTGTTACGTGTGATCATCCACATAATCGAATTCGATCAATCCATCGACCAACGTTTATTCAAGCTGTTGAACGTAAATAAGATAAACTTTTAGAGAAATTATTGATAAAGCCTAATGACGGGAGTAACCAACTGAAAGATAATCAAATATTACATGAACATACACCAAATTTAACATGGAAGGAATCTAAATGGTTAAGAGCATTAACAAAAATGTCAATAGTTTGTAAAGGAATTTTAACAGCTGACGATGCAAAATTAGCTTTAGAATATGGTGCGAATGGAATTGTTGTCAGGTACGTTCGAATTTCTGTTTTTTATGTATGACTAACTAAACTTTTTTTCTTAAGTAATCATGATGGTCGACAAGTGGATACAGGATTACCAGCTATTGAATGTTTGAAAGATATTGTAGATTTTGTTAATGGTCGTTGTGAAATATTTATCGACAGTGGTATACGGACGGGAACAGATATTTTAAAATGCTTGGCTTTGGGTGCTAAAGGTGTTCTAATTGGTCGTCCTATTTTGTATGGCTTAGCATGCGGTGGTAATAAAGGTGTTGAAGCCGTACTTAATTTATTACAACGTGACTTAATGTTTGATATGGCTAGTTGTAGTCTAACAAAAATTGAACAAATCAATGAACGAATTTTGTATAAATATCAACAATGATTTCTTTTTTTGTTTTAGGGACTATTAAATGCGCTAACTTTGCAAAGATCTCAGAATAAAAAACAATTTTGTGATGAAATTTTTTAATCATATGTTGAATTGAGAAATACACGTAGTAAGATGGTAGAACAGTTAGGTAGAAATCGTTTTTGCTAAAAATAATAAAAATATTCAACAAGTTCAAAGAAAAGAAAGTAGTTTATGTCAGAACCAAGAGTTGGCATGATGTAGAAATGAAATTGCTGTGTAGTCATTTTGAGCTCAACTTCTTGGTGTGAAATAGTTCACCTTGATTACATCATGTTTCTGAAGAGAAAGCCAGGTAAAGCATGATGAAATTGGTGTTTCGAACAAAGTTCTTCAGACATTACAAAATTAGGTGCTTTTGCCGCGCTGCACCAAATTAGATAAAATTGGGCGCTCGGTGCAAAATTTTTCGGTGAATCGGGGTCCTTTTAATTCTATTTTCACTTCTTTTCTGGCGTCGACATATTCTACTTCGTTTTGGCCTAAAATTTATTTTTCTCATTGATGGAAAAATGGGGCCAATGAGAAAAATAAACTCAACAATTTAAATTATTCAAAATATAAATAAATGATAGATAGATGAAATTGAGAATCGATGACTGTGATAGAAGACATTCTCTTTTGCTTTTTGAGTTTATAAGGTGAGAACCATAATCATTGAAGGAAATCTAAATTGAAGGAGACGAGTTTATTTTCACTTGGATAGTTCGATAACGATTAAGTCCGAAAATCCTGCATGCACTGTAACTTCAACGCTTGAACAATAGAATTGTATGTTGTCTCTTTAATTACATATTTCTCACGATATCTAAAATTCACTGACTCAATATGTCGATCCAGATCTATATAAAAACTTGCTGACATTCAAACAACTGAAGAACATACAACCTTATTGACAAACCCATTAGTCGACAAAATAATTACGCGTCATGCTGGAACAAGCTTAAAAGAGACACCCATTCAAAAAAGCGTTCTATTGCATTCTTTAAAGCGTATTTATAAGTTTTCATGTGCGCAGAACGACCGTATTATGCTGAGGACATCTTGCTCTATAAAATAGATGGTCTAATTTCCATCGTGGAACAATTTTAAAATATCACCGGTTCGAAGAGGTTCCGCTTAGAACCAGAAAAGGCCTAGATCTCGTTCTTCTGAAGAAAACATTATCAAAGCGAAACATTTTGGCTTTCTTAGTCTTTTAAAATGTTTTTTAAGATTCTGCTATCGGAAAACGCGGGATTAGCGGTATTTCGATACCGATACTTTTTACAATATTGCTGAGGTTTCCAATAACGATACCAAAGATGGTATTGAATTTTTCGGGGCTTTCGATATTACTTAACCATTAACATAGCAAAATCTGTTCTTTTCTTTTCCTTTTCCTTTTATAGGGAACAGAAAAGATAATGATCGATAAAATGGATCAGGTTCCTTTGTTTTCTTTGTCGACACGACTCACTATCAGCTAACACAATGAAGACAGCAGAGCGAAATTTGTCTCGCCACTAGTATTAGTCGACGACATGGCCAGATAATTCTGCTACCAGAGTGTAATTCCGTGACGAAATTTTGGCATGTTGCTGCATTTATATTTCTTTAACGAAAGTATGTGTAGTACTGTCGTCTAGAATGGTAAAGTAAACGGTTACAGTTACTAAGAACATTCTCTTTCTTTCTATTTCTCTGTTCTATTTTATACGGTTACACAGTATAACTTTTACCAAGGAATGAAAACTACTTTGTATGACTTTCTCGAAATATGTAGATAAGATGAAAAACAAGTGATGTCATAGTTATAGATCGAAATTGAGAAGTTTGCGCACAAATCTATCTCGATTTCTTCTTTATCATTTCTTGCTGATGCCATCTCTTCCATGAAAAATGAGATGCATACATAACTTTGAGTCAAATTGAAAAGATTCAGTTTTATTGTTTTTCACTTTGGAACATCAAGTATTTTACAGATCTGGATGGTCTATGTCTGCAAATAGATTAAAAACATTGAGCTAGATTGTCGTGAAAACCGCAACTCAACAGATTGAATTCTTGTAGAGACATTAGGATTTAAAAAGTTATTTGTCAGGTGTATGAATAGTTTTGAGCGTCACTGTATGTATCTCACGGATTAGAAAGCTGTTCGACTTTGTGCCATCGTCTGATGATCGTGTTTGCCACTCTCCTGTTTTTCTTTTTTGTTCCATCAATATAGAAATCATCTTTGACAAGTCCGAGCTTATCCGCATCAAAGTCGCCTAATTTAACGAGAACGAATCGTTTGCGTAGGTGATCCTGTTGAGCAACCAGAAAACGATCTTTGATTTTTCGCCATTCATGATAACAATAGTCCGAATCAGGATAGGAAGGGGAGAGAAAGACGACGACGAGTAAAGCTTGCTGATAGATACGTTGCAAATATTTATTTCCATCGATTCCGCACACCTCATCGTCATAGTCGGAATCATAGAAGACTGGATCAGGCGAGTTCGGAGTTTTGATAGCAGTGCGGATCATGTGACTGATCGCTTTAACTCGAGCACGTACTTCTCCCGAGAAAGAGACGGCGATTTTCATCGGATGATCAGTCACAAAAGGAGACCGAAGTGATGATGGAGGAGGAACATTCGTGGCCAGTTCTACAAGATACTCAGATAGGATTCATGCCAAGTGGTATAATGCTTAGTGCAAGAAATTACCAGTTGTTGGAGCTAATATCAGCAACGGGTCAGTGTCAGAAGGCTCGATTACGATGACGTTATCAGTATCGGTACCTTTAGAGGAGAGAAAGAGAGAGATCAATTTCAGTTGGAATCTCGGTTTTGTTCTTACGTGTTAAACGTTGCCGATCCATCGATTCAGTCAATTCTGCGATTGTGACTCCAGTCGGCGTTTCGTCTGAACTTGAAACATTCTCCCCAAAGTTCGACTCCAAATCCTAAAAGTAAATAGATTTTGATATAGTTTGTATGAGTCATTTGAAAGTAATGTCACTGCTGACTTCTCGTTCCGTGCCAAAGTGTCTCATTTTCCGAATCTTCTTTTTTGGCTTTCGACGTTGCCGCTGGGTATATCTGCGAAATTGCCTTCTTTTCCGAATCGCATTTGTTGATTTTCGAGATGGTTGCAGAGTATCACCACCGTACTTGCGTGAGAATAACCAGCCACAAATCTGTACATGTATAATCAAAGTTGTTTCGAGCAAACTACGCCAGCATCTCTTACCCACGTTAGAAACAGCCAAACATTAGAGTACCAGTGTTGTCCAAGGGAATATAACCTTTCCGAAACTGAAAAGGGTCGGCTATCCGATGCATTCTTCACTGGTAGGAGAAGGGTCCGTTGATACTCGTCGGTGTCTGACATACTGGAAGCCTGTAGAAATTCTACAACTTACTGATTACTATAAATTCCTCGTTTGATATAGGCTTGAAAAATCTTTGACATGCATGATTGTCAATAAACTGCGACGATGAGGGTGCAGATAAAAAAAACATCAGGTGAATTCATGTTTCACTCTGGCTTTACTTTTATTCTGACTTTATTTTTCATCGAGATCAGACACGTGTTTGTATATGTAAAGAATTAAATAAAGAAGTATGTGTATGCATAAAGTGTTGCTTTAGTTACTGTTATAACGAAGGATGTTATTATTTAGATGTTATAAGGAAGAAAATTATTTTGCTATCACACGGACAGCTGAAAAAACCTTGAAACTTTATGAAGAAATGATCGAGGAGAAGGGAAAAATTGTTCGAAGACAAAACGATTATGACATACGAGGAGGATTAACTACCGAACCACTTTCTAGCAGTGATCACCACTATATCACATTGACTCACCAATATATCAATGGAACTACTTGGTTTCTAAATATATTTTACCGAATCACAGCGAATCTTCTCGTTTGGGCGGTGAGGGGCGAAGAAAATCAAGAAAAACTAAAAAAGGCAAAGCAAGCTGTGTTGAAGCACATTGAAGATGCAACGGGATTGAAGCTGGATCAGTGCGACTGGTCTAGTGGCAATATGGGTACTAGCACAACGGGTTCACAGGGAAGAAGATTCTTTTCCTACGAGCTGAGGGAAAAGGTAATTGATTGCCTTCCGAAGAAATTCAAAGATCTTATTAGTTGGCTCATGAAAACGTATTCCGTCATTTTAAGAGCAGTTTCTTCTACTCAGCAAGTCGACGTTGATGAACTTAAAAATTTAACTCGTGAATTTAGTCTTTTCGTGGCCAAGTCTTTTCGTGATGTACTTTTGAGTAAGATTTTAGTTTGAAAATTGAGGCTTTTTAATTTTTTAGTCTTTTTTGGTAACTTTTAGCTTTTTTAGTCACCTTCATTCATTTTACTATTGTTCTGCATGTGCCTGCAAAAATGAATTCACCCTCCTCCAAGAAGGGAGACCTCTCCGTGGTGATGAGGAGAAACGTTGATGTTTAACATCAACGGCTAACGTCCCTTCCGCAATTAAACTTATAAAACTTAGTGGAATTATAAGTATAATTGTGATTTTCGCACGCTTTTATAGTTATTGCACCTCTTTGAAAATAAAAGACTTCCTCTTTTATACCTAAGGTTGTCTGTAGTAAATCCAACGTGATTTTTAACAAAAAGTGTAATTTTTGGACCAAAAACCGGGTTTTCAAGAAAACCCGAAAAACTAAAGTTCTTGAAAATGGTTTTTAAACACACCATTGGATAGAGCGTGGTCGATAACCTATAGGAAACTATTTTTATTATCTACTAACATTTGTATTTGTCGAAAAAAACCACATGTCCGCCTGCTCTAGCCAAAAATGCCCACTGTGCAACAGACCCTTCTCCTACCAGTGAAGAATGCATCGGATAGCCGACCCTTTTCAGTTTCGGAAAGGTTATATTCCCTTGGACAACACTGGTACTCTAATGTTTGGCTGTTTCTAACGTGGGTAAGAGATGCTGGCGTAGTTTGCTCGAAACAACTTTGATTATA